TTGAAATACTACAGGGCGTTGTTTGAGTGTTTCTAGTTATTGTTCTAAAACATCTTTCACATACACACCTTCAATTTTTATGAGGGGAATATACCATCAGGTGAAAGGTTTTGCAAGTAACATTGATACTTTTTTTTTTTTTTTTTGTTGTGTATTTGAGGGTGTGTGAAAATATGACATATCGCCATTGGTGCTTGTGATGCTTGAGTGTTATAGTTCTAAAACTTCTTTCTTTCTTGTTGATCTTAGTATTTGACAAAACTGGAAAGGTGTTTACAACGCTTTGTGATAGTTCTAAACTTTCTGTTCTTGAGGGGTCTGTGACAGTGTCAGTTAACATTCTGTCAATGCCCATGTCATTCCACACATGCAATAAGATATCTGAATTAGTTACTAATGTAAAACATGTCTCAAAGTAATTTTTTTAAAAAGGACAGCTGATGTTAACATTTGTGCTCTACCGATAGTTTTGCGTTCTTTAACATGTTTGGGGAGGGATGGCCGTGGTGTATCATTTATTCTTTCATTCATTCACATATGTTCTTTTTCTTTTGTTCTTTTTCTTAATTTCTTTCATTCATTCACATAAAATTCTTGCTCTTAATTCATTCATTCATTCATTCATTGTAAAATTCCGACTGATACAATACACTGGCTGAAGTACTGTTTAAAGCAGCCGAAGTTGCGCTGGGACCGAACCAAGTCACTATCCCTGTTGTAGAGTATCCCTGCCTATGCTGAACTACACGTGGTTATTCAGTCTTGCTTTATTTGTATTGGGCAGTGAGAGCAAAAAGACACACCGTTTATTCAAATTCAGCATATTATCAGAACACAACACAAACTGACAACTATTCTGAGTTAACAATGATTTGTGAAGAAATATAGAACCACGTTGTATGTCACGGTTTTGTCTAAGAATATCTGTAGGTCTGAAATACCTTGCGATATTTGTTCAGAGACCTGGCGACCTTACTGAAGAAATTAATTGCCAAGTTTTCCACTTGTCCGGTCTGCCCAGTTGCATAATGTTTATCAAAGGCTGGTTTCGTCTGGAACAAACCTGCTGATAGAATACAACCTTTCAAAGGAATTAAAGCCTAAACCTCAATGCGATGTTCAGTGTCTTGAACAACCCGGTTTGGGCTGGGTGAATTGTGATCACGATAAGAGCACCAGAGTTGGGACTGGCAAGTTCCGGTGTATCAAGTCTCTCAATGACGTCACGATAATTTCGACGCTCGTCGCCCACTGTACAGCGGTATTAAGTTTTAAGGTGGGTGAAAGATGCTATGGCTGATCATCCTACCAGCAAGATTGTTGTGAGCATTCACTTCCCTGGACACGCATCACACTTAAATGAGCGGCAGCAACCTACGTGGTTCGTACATCTTTTGAGAGACCTTATCCTTACAGTGATCGTAACTCCAGTACTTAAACATGGATAGTCGTAGCGTTTTGTGGAACGGGACTGTTCTTGTATCCTTGGCTGTAGTTTGATGCTCTCCTTGTGGTGGTTTTGTAAAGTTTTCCTTCACTTCTCTGTGGGAGACATTCATATGAATTACTGTCTGTGAACATCTACCATACATCACTCATCAACGATGGCAGCCAAACATAACCCAGTGGTTGATAGTTTAACGAAAGTCATACAACAATCATCCATGTCACTTATCTTCACCACCCAATCATCTTGGAGTCATGAGGCAGCCAAACATAACCCAGTGGTTGATGGCTTAACTAAAGTCATACAACAATCATCCATGTCACTTATCTTCACCACCCAATCATCTTGGGGTCATGAGGCAGCCAAACATAACCCAGTGGTTGGTAGCTTAACGAAAGTCATACAACAATCATCCATGTCACTTATCTTCACCACCCAATCATCTTGGAGTCATGAGGGAGCCAAACATAACCCAGTGGTTGATAGTTTAACTAAAGTCATACAACAATCAGTCCAATCATCTTGGACAGGGAGCCAATCATCCAGTGGTTGATGTCACAGTCATACAACAATCATCCATGTCACTTATCTTCACCACCCAATCATCTTGGGGTCATGAGGGAGCCAAACATAACCCAGTGGTTGATAGCTTAACGACAGTCATACAACAATCATCCATGTCACTTATCTTCACCATCCAATCATCTTGGGGTCATGAGGGAGCCAAACATAACCCAGTGGTTGATAGTTTAACTTAAGTCATACAACAATCAATGTCACAGGATCAAGAAGAACACATAATTGCAAACTTTGTTACTGAACCAAGAGCTGCCCTACTCAGGTTAGAATTGGTCTTCAGCAACCCATGCTTGACATAGACGGCTAACCAGATACTAACAGAATTAGGTTTTCAGGTTCATTGACTTCATTGACACATCGTATCCCAATTGTGTTGATCGATAATTAAGCTGTTGATCACTGGATTGTCTGGTCCAGACTTGATTATTCACAGACCGCATGCAGCATTAAACAACAAACAAAATCTACTGAGGCATGAAAGCCAACACAATATGCAGGTTGCAGTAATACCATGTTCAGAAGTGAAATAGTCCTCATTCTCTTGGCCGATAAATAACATAACATATTTAAGGAGGGATATTTCTTTTTCATTTATTACATAAATATTTATTTACAGTGCAGTGTGAAGGATTTCACAATAACAAGTATACCGCAGGTATCACAGTCAGTTTACAGACACACACAGCTATACAAACATTCTAATAATTCAAGACTGATATTAACCATACACAGAGAATGACAGATTTCATATCAGGTGAAAAAGAACATATATATTTGTCACAATTATCTATCAGTGCTCCAGACAGATTATGAAGTATTTATGAGAATCATCGTTTACATTGGCTATTGGAAATATTGAGTATTTTTCACTCCCCGTGTCCAGTCTACTGGTAATTTTTAGAGCAATGTGGAGACATTTTTAAAAGAATTCTGCTTAAACTGCTGTTTCAGGTTGGTTCTAATTTTCTTCTGTTCACATGCTTCTCCAAGTGTCACCTGTCAGGAATGTTTACAACACCATTACATGTCTCAGGTGCTTCAGGAGATTTTAATGGTAGTCAATAAATAAATACCTGACAGGTAAGACATACAGGTACAAAAGCTGAAAAAGCTAAATTTGGTAATGCACAGTGCTGCTATACTAAATGTTTTTCGTAATTTTCATGCAAAATCTTAACAAAAGCAAATCCAAATTAATTGGGTTTTGTTGATCTAACATTTTTACACAAAGACATAGCCTCTCTGGTGTTCTGATACAATGTGTACAATGAATACATTGTGAATGAATCATTAAGGTATTATTCAATCCACCACAAAATGTCAACCTAATGGAGACAGAAGTCCAGAGTGATGGAGTGGAAAGGAATCTATGGCCAGGTCCAGTAGTGACACTGGTTACCAGGCTGAATGGACATGTTTGCTCTTGTTTGTGATAACACTGATTGTCAGTGATCCACTCATGTCACTTTCACCATTGTTTGCCTATAATGCCAAATACAGCAAAGCTGATATATTACATACAACCAGGGGTTTACCTCGACTCCCAAACATGGGGGTCCTGGGGACCAGTAATTATTGATTTTAAGGGTTCTTGCAGGCAATATGACGGTCCTGTGAGGTAACAGTTTAGAGAACTGTACGTGTTGATAATTTCTTTAGAGTTTGGAAAGGCTCATTGATCATGTGGACTGATGGGTGAAATGATGCAAGTAACTGCTGAGAAAGAAACAACCAAACACTTAGCATTTTTCTGCATCCATTCTCTACATTTGTGTGTACTGGACACACACATAAAACCCTACTACAACATATCCTGACAGATAAGAGACATCTTTCACCCCAGGGTTTCTAAATGCAATGAGAGCTACGTCATGATACAGTGAACAATGAACATTCACCAACTGGCAGAGTAATGCTGCCAGCAGACATGACACAACATAACAACCTGAATTGGTATTTATCATATGATGCAAAAGGGAATAATATTTCCATCAAATAACATTATGCCAGAAGCTCTTTTATTGATAGTTTTGAGGTCCTGAGCCTGGAACTTGTATCTGAATCACAAAAGGAATTTTTCTAATAACAAAAATTTGGTACAAGGGTCCAGTGACTAAAAAAATTGAAAATTGTCTCTCTTTAACTCTCAAAGTTCACTAACTTCAAAGATGAAAAACACTCTGCTGGTCAATACATTGAAATCCTTTGACTTTTCATGGTTTTCATTTCACAAAACCAACAATCAATATAAATGGTCACTTGAAATGTAGAACTGTTTACATTCATATTTCTATTTCAGCACAAGCCCTGAGGTCTTCTAAAACCTTTCACATTTGTGAAATGACCAGCCAAAGTGACAAGCTGCCTTGAATACAACATGTACAATAATTCCTAATTACCAAGACATAATTAGTTTCCATACATGTAGTCTCAATACCATTCCCACAAACCTGGGAATTGAATCAGTGTTGACCTGTGACAACGTGACACCACAGAGAGGATGTCATTAGACAATGACAATGGACGGACTTATACATAACCACATGTACAGGTGGACGATAATTAAACACCTGTTGCCGTACATTTCCATGTCACATTCTTATTTTAAATAATTCTGTAGATATTTTATGATAATTCATTTATTTTCTTTCACTCATTGGTATAGTCATACTGGAACATTGATTATGTAAAGGCATGTATATAAACTAACATTTCATAAGGTATCGTTGGTATTTAGACATTTTTCAAACACGTCTATGTCATACAGCAATCTTTCCAAAATCTTCACGAATATTTGGACTGACTGACTGAGTTTTGGTTTTACGCCGCTTTTAACAATATTCCAGCAACATCACGGCTGGGGACACCAGAAATGGGCTTCACACATTGTACCCATGTGGGGATTCGAAACCAGGTCTTCGGCGTGACGAGCCAACGCTTTAACCATTAGGCCACCCCAACGCCCCATGAATATTTGGAACATAGGAAAGTAATGGACCTTATCCAGGTGTATATATGAACATGGGGAGATGTTTGTCAATACAAAATATTGTTTAAGCAAGGTGATCTTGTCCTTCTCACCACAACAGTCCTACACTGTCAGCCCCAGTGAGCAACTGGGGTGGTCACAATGACAAAGAATGAATAAAAGTGACATTTACCCTAATTGATACCTTTTATATTTTCCATTCCAGTGTGAAAGAGATACAAATATGACCAGGCTGTATTGACACCATATCATTCACTGCTGTAATTTGTGACCAGCTTGTATCAAGGCTGGATGAGAACTCAGAGATGTGTTGTGCTGTTTCCTGCAACTCATGTGACGACGATAGCCTCACTGACAGGCATGCTGATGACGCCGGTGATGATGGGGACACTCCGACCTTGTTTCAGCACATATACCTACAGGACAAGAACACAGGGGCAACTCAGTTCTTAACTGTATTTGGATAGTAATTGGAAAAGGGATTTATCAACTTGTTCGTGGAAGCCTGAAGCAATCAGGACAGAAATGGTTCTGAAGCCAGTTTCAACAGTTTTCCATTTATATCACCCTGTATCAGTGATGAAGACACCAATATTTATCTTGCTGCATATCTATCCCATGAAATGAGTTTATATAATATATATGTAAATATTTGTGGCCCAGTTCCTGAGCCATTCCGACAAAATGGTTGAACAATCTGCATTTGTGTACAATGTACATATCTGTATATGCTAAATATGTACACCAATATTACCACACGATGGGTAGTGTTATTTAAGCTATAGTTGACATGTGATTAATATGCAAATGAGGAACTCCTATTAACACATTCCATACATAGATACAATCCATTAAACTAAGTGGTTTGTTGATCCCTCAACACTTTTTTGTGGAAATAAATATGTTTACAACAAATGCAATGCCCACTTACATACATGGCTCTTTTATATTGATAACAACTTTTAATCTTTGTAATGCCATTTCAGATCTAGATCTTGCCAAATTATCATGTGAATACTAAGTAAGTCGATAATTGTCTCCTGTTTACACCTTCACTATACTTACTGGTTTCGCAATATTAATCTCATTAACTTCATCATTATGTTATTATATTTGTACATTAATCCAAACTTGTGTAAACATATGATTACATATATACATGCATTAAGGATGGATTTGGATGAGAATGAATATGACGAGAATGGGATAATACAAAAGAACAAGACAACGGGGAAAGGGGGCAGGGGAGATGGATGAATATGGAATATGTGTGAGCAGAAAACTGGTTCACCATGCTCTGTTCTCACCATGGTAGGCCATGGTCTTATTTTGTAAATGGTAAACCATGGTGCCATTTACAGCACGAGGTAAGCCATGATACACAGTGGTCTGTTCTCACCATGGTAGGCCATGGTCTTAATACTTCAATGGCAAACCATGGTGCCATTTACAGTACATGGTAAACCATGGTATATCATGGTCATTTCGTGCTCATTTCAGCTGAGGGGAGTTGAGAACTGAGTGGTTGTTAGTGTTGGAAGCTAGAACTGAGATGTTAGAGAAATACAGCCTCTAGACTGTGACAGGTTCTATTCAAATCAAACAAATCTTGAAATCACTGACATTATGCTTGTAAACTATGAAAGTCCCCTACACCCACACTAGTTCACTCCTTACCTTGACATTGTCGGACACTCCCTTGTCACTCTGACAGTCTATGAATGTGTCATAGGAGTAGTTCAACCCTGGCACCAACATAGGCACCTGCAAGTAGAGACACATGTCTCAAACACACAATAACACAGAGTACCTTGATAACATCAATCATTACAGAATGAGGAGAAGCAAAACTGTTGGGGTATAGTGAGAAACAATCATTAAAGGTTCAACATTTCAACCATTCAATCTCCTTTTCAGTCAACACTTACAAGCATGGGGTCCTGGAGAATTAGCCAATCACTGTATTATTGAGGGACTGACCAATTGTTATTTTGGGGTGGGGTGGGCAGACTAGGATTACTATTTGTATAAAATACTATGATAAAGACTAATAAAGAGAAACAGAGTTTTGTAACTGTTCACTGTGCATGTTAAACATCCTTGGAAGGAACTAATGTACTGGGATTCTAATTAATTGTTTGGCACTTCAACTCACATTATTCTGGTGTCCCCTGCGGTGATTTTGCTGGAATATTGCTGAAAGCGGTGTAAAACTAAACTCACTCACTCATTCACTACACTCACATTAAACATCGTTCTGACTAAATGAATATGCTCTTTCTGACAATAACGAAAGCCTCTCTTCACCCCCACAAATTCTGAAAGGAGGCTCCCAAAAGAGTATAACATCAATGCTTCTCAACATCATCCAGCAGTACGTAAACAAGGAAACTAGTGCAACCCAATGTCCCCCAATCATTCAGTTAATCAAGTCAGTCAGTTCGTTTTACAGATGTAAGATGTAATTCAATTAGATCCTGCAAACCAAAGGGAATCATTCCACCATTAATGTTCGTGAGTGTGAATAATGAAAATAGTTTTATGACCATTTGGGGATTTTTCACGGATCAGGATTCAACATCAGGATAATAACAGTAATAAATTGGTTGTTATACGAGAATCAAGTGCACTGCTTTTACAAAATGTTCAAAGGAGTTCTCCGTAATGCCTCAATTTGTCTGGTTTTAGTATGTTTAACATGCCATATTGATGAATGTTTCTTTCAATGAAAACAGAGCCATGAGCCCTGGAGTTCACCTTCATCACTACAGGGGTAATTCAAATATCAAGTGAATTATATAATTTTAGCCAAACTACTGACTACTTAAAGATCCCTCCATAGGTTAAAGTTCTGTCAATACTGAATGAAGAAAAATTATTTCATTAATAGGGTTGGTATTTTTGTTTTAATAATCTGATGAGTGAGTTTGGTTTTATGCCTCTTTTAGCAATATTTCAGCAATATCCTGGCGGGGGACACCAGAAATGGGCTTCACACATTGTACCCATGTGGGGAATCGAACCTGGGTCTTTGGCGTGACAAGCGAGTGCTTTAACCACTAGGCTACCCCACTGCCCCTAATAATCCACATATATTGCCTGAGTATTACAATTAACAGATGACTTGGTGACTTGGTTGGCTGTGTGTGACTAGGCACCAAGAGGATGGATCATAGTTTACAATATTTACCACTGGATTGTGTGACGTCAACTAATTGTTTGGCATATAAATGTTGAAATAAGATATTTCAGTTTAGGTTGAAACCATATGAATTTGGCCAAAATGGATCGGTTTGTCAGGCTCATTGACATGGCCGTCTTTCCCAATTGCATAGAAAATGCTGGTGATATCAATCACTAGATTGTTCAGTCCTGACTCAGGTACTTACAGAATGCAATGATCACGATTGAATTTTGTTTAATGAAACATTAAGCAACAAATAAAGAAGGAAGAAAGCATACAAAATTAAAAACAAAGAAAGGTATTGAAAAATCAAATCCCATACCTATCAGCAACTTACAAATAACACAGCCATTTGTTTTCAATGAACTTTTACAAACAGAATATCATGATAAAATTAGATAAAATATACTGATGAACAATCAATTATCTTGAAAAAAGCAATACATCTTTTTATTACTCAATATTACCTCTCTTTGTGTTTAAAGTAATTCAGTTCATGATAACAAGTTACTATAATTCAGTAAAGCAATTATGTGCATCATGTGTCATATAGTTTGAGAAATTATACTCTCTGCTTTAAGGCCTACAATCAGTTCTTGCAAAAAATAATCATCTGATTACATAAAAGGATGCTGTGAATGACTGAACACATAAAGATTGAGCTTACTTTATGACAAAAACACATTCTCTATGTAGGTACAAATTTAGATGTTTTCACAAATCAAATTATCCTAAGGCCTCTGAAGTCTTATAAAAGTGGGAATTTTTTTTTCTATAAATGTTACTTCAGTGAAATGTCAAAGAAGGTATTAACTTTGTTCTCCACTCCATTATTGATAGAATCTGCATCAATTTGCAGAAGAACTGGAACACTGCCCATATAGCTAATGGATAATACTCATATTGCACACAACTGACATTTCTCGTCAAGCATCAATCTGTCAATGACTTAAATTAGTTCTGATGTACTCAGAAACAGATTGAGTGACTCTTCATATGAGGGAGCTTCCATAATTATCTCCTTACAAACCAATGATCTGGCATTGTTTGTCAACAATCCCTTCCAGTACTCTGTGGACATCATTTGACATTTATTGTACCCTTCACAACAAGCTACAGTACAGTGTTCTCTAATCACTTTCATGTATGTTTCAGCGTACGTTCAGTGCTTGGCAGCCACAACGGGACTGCACATTCAGCCACAATGATAAATCACCTACAGCACACGTGATGCTCGGAATGAAATAGAAACTTCAAAGTATGCGACATTTTCAATCCCTCACTGCTAAGCTGAGGCAGCAATAGATGCTAGCTAGATAGCCAGATTACCATTTTAAAGTCACTACTGTACGTCCCTCTGCTGCTGTCAGAATAACACTGTCAACGGTTAATCTATCAACTTGCCCAGCGAAATCAATAACAAAACTGCAAAAGCTTGTTCATCACAACTCACTGAGGTGACTCCGTTCAGATTTCCACCTTCAATTACTACTTTCAAAGACTTTGTACTTGGAAACTACATAAAACCTAAAAATAGCCTTCCCAGAACTGGTACTTTGGAAGTCTTATTAATTTGCTGGTTACAAAAATAAGCTGGAGGATTCAGTAGCTCACCTGAAATTTTAAAAATATTTGATCAATTTAGTGGGTTTTTTCATAATGCACTCAACAATACTCCAACTAAATGATAGCATGACTTCTTTGATCAGCATTCTAGAAGTTGGGTAGATGAAGAATGAGGACTATTTTTATGGATATACAACTTCTTTATTCTGTATAGGCGATGTTTCGACATAGATTTTAATGTTGTTCACCACTTGCTTGAACAACGACATTAGAATCTATGTCGAAAACGTCGCCTATACAGAATAAAGAAGTTGTATATCCATAAAAATAGTCCTCATTCTTCAAATGACAGCAGTTGGTAAATAATCAAGTCTGGACCAGACAGTTCAGCAACTGACATTACAAGCATCAGTCTATGCAACAGGCATGCAATGACATGCATCAGCCAAGTCAGTGCCTCCAACCACCTGTAGCATTAGTCGCCTACTATGACAAGCATGGGTATCTGAAGAACAATTCCTTGATCTTCATGGGTAGAGTGCTCAGAGATAGGAACCACTGTCTGTAGGGTAAGTGTTCATTTCAACTGATGTCCCTGAACAACATATCAGCAAGAACAGGCATCCCTCGCCATAACGAGAGACACCCACGTTATACATAACTCGGAATAAAGGGCCATTAAATACTACCCTGCACAGGGTTCGAAAAAACAGCACTCAAAGGTTGAAGCTGTCAAATATCACACTACACAGCAAACTATAACCTATGCTATTTGTCATACCATAAGTGAGTGAGTTGGGTTTTACCCTGATTTTAGCAATATTCCAGCAATATCACCTCAGGGGACACCAGAAATGGTCTTCACACATCGTGCCCATGTGGGGAATGGAACATGGGTCTTCAGTGTGACAAGCAAACACCTTCACCACTAGGCTAACACACCCCCCCCCACCAATCCCCCCAATCAAATTTCATAATAATGCACACATAAGTGACGGAGTAATATTGTTGCGATGAGACCTGTAGACCTGATCAATAACAGACATCATCAGTTGATCGATAATCAATACAATACCGACAACACATTGACAATCATGACAAGATATTGAAAGTTTCGGCAGAAGTTTTTCAGATGAATTTGCAATGTCCAGATAAGGTACCAGAGCTCTGAATGGAGTAAAGCACCCATCAGTTTCAGAGAAGAAGTTTATGATGGTCAAATGGCCATGACATAATCAGGTTGGATCATCAGAGCAGGTGAGCTAAACACAGCTGTTTACTGGAATGTTACGGAATCTACTTATAATATGTGTTCCTCCACTAAGCGGGGGTGGTGGGGTAGCCTAGTGGTTAAAGCGTTCGCTCGTCACGCTGAAGACCCGGGTTCGATTCCTCACATGGGTACAATGTGTGAAGCCCATTTCTGGTGTCCCCTGAGGTGATATTGCTGAATATTGCCAAAAGCGGTGTAAAACCAAAGTCACTCCTCCACTCTGCCCTTTGGTGGAGGATTCTCATTCAGTTTGATCTTGTGGCTGCCCTTGTAGTCAGGTGTTTGGTACTACCTGTCCTGCCCTAATTAGCCAGAGATCTATTATATGATACGAGCTGTATATCTATTTTGGCCTTGACACTTACCCTGGATCCAGGGCCTATATTTTCGAAGCTCTGTTAGCGCTAAGATAGTCAGTAAGTGCCATACATTAACATTAACTTACGACTATCTTAGCGCTAAGAGAGCTTCGAAAATCTAGGCCCTGATCCACAAAACATTTGTAACGTTACAACCTTGTCATAATTAAGTCTATGGTTTACCATTGGCTTATGAATGTCGTAGCACTACAAATGCTTTGTGTATCAGGACCCAGAGTGAGTTAGTGGGTTGGGTTTTACTCCGCTTTTAGCAATATTACAGCAATATCACGGCGGGGGAACACCAGAAATGGGCTTCACACATTGTACCCATGTGGGAAATCGAACCCGGGCCTTCAGCGTGACGAGCCAAAGCTCTAACCACTAGGCTACCCCACCGCCCCTCAGGACCCAGAAGTCTAGTATGGAACACCAGTGGTTGTCTCTTTTAGCAAACTGATCCTTTAATCTTCAAGCATGTATTCCTCCAGGTGTTGTTTTTCAAATCTTTCAAATGGACCTAATCGAATGAAGTCTTACGCAAGATTTTACCTGAGAGAAGGGAAAGACTTGTACACTTAATTGCTTTATTTGATAATGGTAATTGGCACACTACAAAGACAATGTGCTTTATTCCCATCTAAAATCATACAAATGCCATTTAGCATTTATGATGCCCTAACCACGACTGCTTTGATGTCTTTTGAGGGATTATAAATCTGTGGTGATGCGGACATACTGGCACCATTACCAGCCATAATGACACAATAACATAAAAGTATTTGTGCATTGTAGAACTCAGGGTTGAAATTACATCTACAAAGGACATCTGAGGCAAAATTCTTTAACACAGAGATAGTTCTCGCAGGTGGACGATGGTGTGTCACAATGCTGACTGGGTTGGTTTTAATGCCACTTTGAACAGTATTTCTGTTACATCAAAGTATAACAAGTTGTATGCCGGTAGAGAATTGCAACAGTCCAGTACACGATGTCGCCATGTGTCAGAAGCAATGAATAGATGACAGAGAGGAAGAATGTTCATAAAATGTCACATCTTACCGATTTAACAACTGACTTACTGCACTGTCACTTGATTAGATTATTCTTTAAACTTGTACAAAGATATATGATCAAATGAGCAAATATAACACACTTTGAGGAAGTAATGTGCTAAGACATATGAGCACTGAATTGATTGAAGCTTAAAAAGTTCTGGCTTATATCAGGCATATAACACAAATTTGTACTGTAATAACATCATAGTATTCAACAAAGGACATCTGGACCAAATTAAATTCTGTGTCAAACAGTCCTTAATTACTACTGGTGAGTGTGGTGTTGTAGGTGTATGATTCCCTTAATGGGCAGAAAATAATTACCCTCCCTACTGCATGTCTGTCTACCTCACCTCACCTGAATCTCACCTGAACCTCACCCAACTAAGAGTGTCTTATTTACCAGATCATGCATGAGCACTACCCTCTTGCCCTTATATCACCAGAACCAGCACTGCTGAGAGCAAGATTAGATTAGGTCTTGTTGGAAGAGGCCAACTGGATGGGTGGTCAGTCACTTTACGTATCTTGGTCTGGTTACATGCTGATTATTTACATGCTGACCTGGCTGTAGTATTACTGACTGGGACGGTCAACAACATTCACTCGCTGACTCATGTGGTGTATTTCAAAGAAGTGAGTGAGTGAGTGAGTGAGTATGGTTTTATGCAGCTTTTAGCAATATTCCAGCAATATCACATCGGGGACAACAGAAATGGGCTTCACAGATTGTACCCAACTGGGGAATCGACCCCAGGTCTTTGGTGTGACGAGGCAACACTTTAACCACTAGGTTATCCCACCGCCCCGTATTTCAAAGAAAGTGCATAAAGGCAACAGTGTCCTCAAATTGACCATGTGACACCTACCATCTAGTATGGATACTTACTGACATGTATGTGTCAAAAACACTGTAAACTCTGTGGTACACTTTAACCATAATACATGCCAGATGCATAAATACAGTCAGAGCTTTTTTTATCATCACATCAAACAAATCAAAGCAGTGAAATTAAATCCAAGGCTGTCGTTGGTAAAGAAGGCTTGCACATACATAAGTGCTGCTTGGTGAACTGGCTGGTAATTTGGTCTTTCAGATGGAAGGCTGTTGCTACACAGGTATCTCACCTTGATGTGTGTTTTCCTGAAGTTATACAGCTTTTCATCATAGTCAAAAGTGATGAAAAGGTTGGAGGAGGCTTGGCTGAGAGATGTATTCTGCAGGTTGACTGTCATCTTGAATGTGGGACCAATACCTTGCACCTGAGAACAAAACAGTACAAAACTGACGAAAAAATGCAAAAAGCATGTAAAGATCCCGGACACCTCTTATTCACCTTCTTTATAATACAGTATTTGTGAGATATATTTTTATCTACACTTTCTATTTATGTTAATATGCTTCTTCACATCCTCACAGAAATTCCCCGATATGTGGTATTAGCCTGTCGTGTGCTTTTGGAAATTAACTCCTGGTATTAAAGTGGAGAGTAAAAAACATATTTCATCTACAAGAGCAGTACAATTATGAAATTGGTCCCTGTAGTTCGACATTTCAAAGTTCAAATAACATACAATGTTATGTTATGGAGTTGAAGCTCACCTGGATATGTAGGTAAAGTTTTAGGTTAATGATAACATGTTTTACATGCATACACACCCTCGGGTCAAGTTTACTCATGTGATAAAATATTTTAATTACATAAAATTAATATTCCCACGTCAACAATAACAAGCCCAGAATTCAACTGGATGATAAATGCCATCATTACATTTCACTATCAAGCATGGACAACAGGAAGTGACTGCACTCTAGCCCATGAAGGGAATCTTTAAGAGTTATTGTTATGCGCCAACAGCTCCACAGGGACTAATCATCTGAGCCAATGTCCTGCTTCAGCCAATATCAACATGGCCTTTTTGTAATTATATCATCAAAGAAGCCGCAAGGAAGGACCAGCTGAGGGGACATCGTTCCTTTACAATGTCCATGGTGACTTTTCAGTACGGCAATGTACACTGAACATACAAAGTTAAGGATCATGAATATTTTGGGCATGAGTTTATAAAATTGTGTGCTAAGTATTCATTACAAAATTCCCCCAAATCTTTATGAGTCCTGTATTATTTTGTCAGTATAGTTAATCAGGTTGTGCAAGGTAGTAATAGGGTTGAACATTTCCATAAGTTAAACATTATTGAATGACATTTTGAGTAAAATGAATAAACTAGATTGCAAACATAAGTCCACATACGAAAAGAACATGTGTTATTACGAGATGGTGTAACAACAGGAGTAACATGTGTAATTCGATACAGATTTGTTGATACTAGTGGTGTTCCGATTAATTGAAATAATCGAAGATTAGTCGCAGTGACCAAACAACCAAGCAATCGATCACATTTTCTCATAATCGAACACAAACCATTTTGGAACTGCTGTTTTAGTCTTTGAAACACTTGACGATGGAACATATCTTCGAAGTTGTCAGGTCCTGAAAACTTGTTTAATTCTTAGAAAACTCACTTCACTAACTGAAAAGTCATGACTGAATATTTCTTAAAGACTCCAGGAAGTTTATGGTCATGGTACATTAGTCATCACTTTAAAGTAGCAAGTTGCATCATCTTATACCTATCTGCAATAACAACCTGGATAGGAAAATCTGAAAATTGATGCTAACCAATTTTTATCGATGATTTTTCGTTGGTAATGAAGCAATCATCAATTATGAGATTTCAACAAATTCCCAACACTAGTTGATACACTGATCACAATGAGATTGGTGTTTGGTGGTTTGGCTGACCCACTAACTATGACTGTGATGTGGATGGAATATTGTTAAAAATGGTGTAAAACCATCACACACTGACTGACAGGACTGTGATGTGGATGGAACATTGGTAAAAAAAGAAGTGTACCCATTACTCCCTCACTCTCTCTCTCTAACACTCAAGGTATGACTTCATATGAATCGTGACCAAATGCCTTCACATGACAAATACAGTATCTCCATCACTCCTTGGAGCATCCACAGTTATGGTCTGTTTGCAGTGAAAACGTACCGATGAATTTCACTTTTAACAAAAAAGTAAATCGAATAAAGTGAAATTGAGGTTGCGAATCCTCATAATTTTACCTTGCAAATTGAACATGTAAATCTCAGAATTTTATTCAACTTATAATAAAAGTTGTTTAACAAACAATCATAGATTCAAATTGCTATTATTTGTTTGTATTACAAGGGGGTATGCACATTAAATGAAACACAGAGACCAAGTAGTGTTGGTTTAAGTTAACGCTCATCAAGAACCGCACGTGCATTTGTTTCACTGTTTCAACTACTGCGCTTACACCCCCAAACCAATAAAAGCAATTTTAAGCTATGGTAGTTTGTTAAACAACTTTTAACCTAAGTTGAATATAATTCTGAGATTGAAATGGTAAAATTCTGGTAAAATTATGAGGACTCGCAATCTTAATTTCACTTAATTTGATTTTCTTTTTTGTTTAAAGTGAAATTCATTGGTACGTTTTCACTGCAAACAGACTATAATAAACTACTGTCTAATATGTCGGCCTTCCACCAAGCCACTGTAATATTACTACAGCAAGAGAAGTTATTTTACAAGTGTGGAGAGAAATGGGCCAAGTTACATTCCCTTTGCCGCCTTATCTTCCTGTTTAAAGAGTAAGTAAATGAGTGAGTTTAGTTTTGCGTAGCTTTTAGCAATATTCCAGCAAAACCACGGTGGGGGACACCAGAAATAGACTTCACGCATTGTACCCATTTGGGGAATCGAATCCCGGCCTTCGGCATGACGAGCAAACGCTTTAACCACTAGGGTCCTCCTGATTAAAGAACAAATGGACACAGGAAATTGGGTACATCATATACTTGTCAATGTGATCATGGAAAGAGATCAGTCTGGTAATATCAATGTTGATCAAACTTTTTGAAACTTTCTTTCTCCTAAAGGGTGGTGGGGTAGCCTAGTGGTTAAAGCGTTGGCTCGTCACGCCGAAGACCCGGGTTCGAATCCCCACAAGGGTACAATGTGTGAAGCCCATTTCTGGTGTTCCCCGCCGTGATGTTGCTGGAATATTGCTAAAAGCGGTTTAAAACCAAACTCAGTCAGTCAGTCTTTCTCCTAAATAACTTTGGAAAAGTAAGTAATATGACCTTGTTGACAGCAACACCTTTAAACAAACAAAATGTATCCCTTACTCTCTGAATTATACGTACTGAACAAAGAGATTTAGGAATCAGGAATATGTTTAGAAATATTTTTATGAAATTGTGAATTCGGTCATCAATATGAACGCATTTTCCTACAAACATTGATAAAAAATCATATCCCCACAAATATTGATCAAAAAGCATATCCCCACAAATATTGATCAAAAAAGCATATTTCTACAAATATTGATCCCTTACTTGTTGGTCAAATGAGAAGACAGGAAGTATGTCTTTCATCAAACCATATACCCCACCTCTCTAAAGCTTCACAAAGTCAAGTGACGACACCACCAATACACTGTCTACCTCAAGTGTGACAGAGAGGGCGCCTCTCCAGCGCTGTTGACAACACCGGCACACACGCCTACATACAGCACCTCCCTGACTACAGCCCGGGAGACAAAGTCCTCTCAATTACTCCAGCCAACAGACATGAGTTTATCACAGAAGTGTGCTACACCTATATCCTGTCTGATCCATTACCCGACCAGTCTTTTATTAAATTGCTGTTCTCAACACCAGTGTGGTTAAGGAGAATGCTAGGCTGGCATCAAAGAAGACAGCAATTCGTGGACTGCCACAGAAATGGCAAACAGCGACACAGAACACGATCAGGTATCTGCCCATGCTGTCAGCTGGTGATCACAAGGGCAGCCCTTTAGGGTGACTTTTAATATCTAAATGGTCTCTTTAATAGAGCAAGTGCAGAGACCGCTGTGCTCATTATTCCCTCAATTAGGAGTCTGGTGTTAGGACCTTCAGCTCACCCGCCGTGCTCGATGGTCAAGTTGGTCTAAAGAACTAGGGTGTAATACAAATCGGCCCCAGCGTTCTGATGTCTAGGGTTCTGACCAATCAGACTGACCTCCCTGGCTGTAGGTGTCGTCTGCTGACATTTGATGAATGTGCTACTACATTGGACCTAATTGGGCAAATCAACTTCTTCTACAGCATGATTACATCAAAGTAGTAATTTGGAAGCACTGTGCCATTTCAATGTCCCTTGAAACCTGCCAATCATTTAATGATTTTATTTACCTCTGTCACCTGTGTAGTCCTGGGAGTAATATTTCAGCATTTCCCGTACTTTCGCCCAATTTGTAATTTTGAAGCTGATGGGTTTCTTACACGCCATCTCTAGCCACATCTAAATTCAAATTTGTTGATCCGAATGACTTCATTACATTAATGGTGAGTTATTTTGTACTTTTTCTGTCAAGGGAGGCAGTGGATTGTTAAGATTTCTTTATATGTGGTTGGTGAAAGGTCAGTGTATTTAATGTGAATTTTTTCACAGATCCTTTCACAGAAGAGACATACTATGGTATATTACAACCATGGAAGAGAGTGAAGGTTGTTTGAAAGCAAATTCAAGCTGCATCATAGGTCTGTAAATAACTGTGTCTAGGCCACAACAACATGTGTTTTTGCATGTTGTTTGTTTGTTGCTAAAAGCTCATCTTAGTAGTAATCCAGCTGTATGTAACAGACTGAAAACAAGGACAACCAGTGGTTGATATACTGGGCAATGATTAATACAAATCTGGGTTATAGTGACACACACCCGTGAAGATCCAGGTTAGAATTGATCTTCAGTAACCCATGTTTGTCGTAAGAGGCGACTAACAGGATTGCTGTCTTGTTTGACACATGTCATCGTATTCCAATGGTGTAGATCAATGCTCATGCTGATCACTGGATTGTCTGGTCCAGAATTGTTTATTTACAGACCACCGCCACATAGCTGGAATATTGCTAAGTGCAGCATAAAACTAAACTCACTCACTATAGTGACACACATCAACCATGTTGTCAAGCCTGGATGACTTAAATCCATTTTGTCACCTCATGCAACAATTACTGGTTGCTGAGGACCAATTCAAACTTGAAAACATTTCTATCCTGGAAACAGCAAAAGCAATAAATCACTGAGGTTCTCAAAGTCAACCTGCCTCTTAAATGCCTCTGAAATCCCATATTGTAAAGAGCTCTAGATACTGATAAAACTGCAGTGTCTTTAATCATTCTAAACATAACTAACAAAGCATGCCCAAGGTATCATACTCCACACTTTTCGCTGGTGATATTGGTTCTGGTAACTCTCAAACTCAATTAATATAAGGATGATAGAGCTGTAGAACCAGAAGGGCACAACATGACAGACTTGCGGTAAGTGGTGTACAATGCTTTTACTGTTCAAGGTTTCAAACTTTGAGAACTTTGTGTCACCTATGTCACCAAAGGAGTGAGTGAGTTTAGTTTTACGCTGCTTTTAGCAATATTCCAGCAATATCACAGCAGGAGACACCAGAAATGGGCTTCACACATTGTACCCATGTGGGAATCGAACCCAGTCTTTGACGTGATGAGCAAACACTTAAACCCCTTGGTTGTTGTGGCTGTTGTTTTACACCAGACGGCACCATTAGTGCAACACATCACACAGACAATAACCAAGTTAAACCAGTCGATGATATCCTGAGTAACATCCAACATCGTCACACCATCAAATTGACTCATCATCTCTAAAAACAACAGAAAGATCAGGAACTGTCAAGATCCAGGAAGAAAAAGTAAAGGCAACATACTTGTGCTGATAGTTTGACTGGTTCGGCTGGATCGGATGAGATGGGGTTCATGCTGGTCTCCAGGGCCTTGAGGTACTGGCGGGATGTGTTTAGTCGCAGCAGGTACAGGTCACGTTGGAACGTTCGGTGCATCGCTGAAACAAAAGCAGTGATGTGAACTATAGCCAGGCTTCTTAATACATTATCCATTAGTGACAAACCAGTGATTCATATTACGAGCAACAAGCACAACCATGAGGTAAGGTGAAATTGGGTTTAACGTCGTGCTGGAGAATATTTCTCTCATATGACGACGTGCATGCGTGTGTATGTGTATGTGCGGCTGCTTGTACTAGCCCAGACTGAAGCTGGTTTTATAGTGCTAGCCCACTGAGATACCATGCCGCAGTGAAGCATGAATACCCCACTCAGACACATTATACTGACTCCAAGCCGACCAGTCCTTGTTGTACCCATTAATGCCGAGCGCCAGGCAAGGACCAACAAGTGCAATATTTTAACGTCACAACCATGAGGATACGGTTTATAACACTTCATCAAACTTGACCATGCAATCATTTACATTGCCAGGTACAACATGCATAGGTTGCCAGGAACCAGTTCTAACCTTTTCCACATAACTTCAGTTTATATGCATAAGGCAGCTGGAACCAGTTCTAACCTGCTCCACATTACTTCAGTATGTATGCATATGCAGCTGGAACCAGTTCTAACCTTTTCCACATTACTTCAGTATGTATGCATATGCAGCTGGAACCAGTTCTAACCTTTTCCACATAACTTCAGTTTATATGCATAAGGCAGCTGGAACCAGTTCTAACCTGCTCCACATTACTTCAGTATGTATGCATATGCAGCTGGAACCAGTTCTAACCTGCTCCACATAACTTCAATCTATTAGGTTTTCATACATTGTGCCCTTGGCATGAATGGAACATATATCTTGTGGAACCATCCAGAAATTCCTCGTCAGCTTGGTACAGATTTTACTCAGTCTTAAATTGCATTTCAGTCTCACCACGATTTTAATATCTGATAAAACCAAAAGATTAGAGTCATGTACATTGACAATTTTACTTCTTGTTCACCACAATAATAAACAGAAATGAATCTAGGATTCAAACTGGAATAACAACACAATCCAGTCGAGTGGACCACCAGTATCCCCTCATTCTGAAGTCAGTGGGATAAGTTATTAGTTATAACTGTTATGTTAAAAGTAATCCTTCATTGATTATAGTATTTTTATTAAACTTACATGCCAACCAGTCCATTATATTAATTCATAAAGAAGAAATGTTTTAAACTATTATCTGTATAATCTGTGACATGAAATCTGTTTTACATAAACATGATCCTGGGATCTTGAATGATTGAATGTTCAGTTAACCTTGTTAAGACTGACTTTTCGCCGCTCTTGTTAATAATCATCAAACAGAAATAGTCATTGACATTAATCATGGCATCTGAAGAGGGTAACCCATCAATTATAAATTATAATCAATCATATGAATATCCTTAATGTTACTGATATACTACTCCAATTTTGACAGGGATCCTTTTTATCTTCGTATGATTATCCTTATCAAAAGTTGAATAGCATATATCTATTATCTAAGTACACTGTCATGCAATTACATACAGACTTTGAGTATATTTGGACTGTGAACAGGGTTTCTGATCTATTTTTTGAGCTCTTGTCAATCTTGAAGCCTGACGCCTGGTAAGTGTAATTACTTTCTGGAGAAAAAACACTGCCATTCAGATAAAAAAAAATTTTTTTTTTTATTTTGGGAGGGATACTGAAGAAAATGTCCCTTCCATCAAATAAACTGACTTACAGTCTAATGAAAGTGAAAGTTTGACTTTTTGAAAGAAGCAAAAATCTTCAGTTCACAAAACATCAACCCCAAGCCAAGAATCCCTAAATATTGTTGCAAAGTGTGCCATGAAGTCATGAGCTGACTTTCACACAGTGAAGCACTTACCAGTCAATTTGGTCATTTGGTCTACAGCTGGAAGTCATATGACCCAAATCTAAATCTCAAACTATTTTCGGTCCTACTAATGTTGTATAATGAGTTCAGCTTCACCTCCAGCCATGGCCTCTGTCAATAACATCATCATTTTCCCTCATACCAGCAGGCAGATAACCATTTTCATCATGTTCATATCTGCTGAGAACATATCAAAATGTAAGTTTGACTGGTCAAAAGCTGAAACAGCAAGATATCCTCATACAAAACCCTAGCGAGATGATGTGTGAGTTAGTCTAGTAATAGACAACTATTCAGCCAAACTACAGCAGTATCACAGGGGTGGCACCTCGAATGAGCCACCATATTGCAGCAATGTTGCTGAGTGTCACGCGGAACAAGAAATATACCAAACCAAGAATGAGCTTCCTCCTTCATATATTTCTCACTCAGCTGTGACACATACATCTATGACTTCTTCACATACTTCAGAACAATGACTGACTGACTGACTGACTGAGTTTAGTTTTACTCCGCTTTTGGCAATATTCCGGCAACACCACGGCTGGGGACACCTGAAATGGGCTTCACACATTGTACCCATGTAGGGATTCGAACCCGGGTCTTCAGCGTGACGAGCGGACACTTTAACCACTAGGCTACCCCACCGCCCCTTCAGAACAATGAATAAAACAATAATGCCCAATGATTTGCCTGGTGTGCGTTGGTCACAAACATTTTATAATTTACCAATCCTAATTTCTATAAAACATTCTGCTTTGAAAGCTAATTAGGTGAGATATATACTAATCAACATGGCAGTGTTGTCTTCCTCAGACATCACCACAGACATAAGAAGCCACGACATCAACATGGTGTCCTGTTTTCACTAATTTCATTGCAATTGAAGATATGGTGGCTAGTACTCTGTTAATAATGGAGCAACATTAGTCAAAATACAAGCTACACAAGCAGGAGAATACGGGAATCTAAGAACTAATTCCCATATTAGATAGGGGCCATCTATTTTGCTATTTGTTGTCCTTTCTCATGTAGTACGATTTCATCTTTCTTACAATTTGTGATGCTACCAAAACATATCTTGTTACAATGCGAATCTTTGTACATGTATTTTAATGAAAAAAACATTACAAAAATATAGTGTCCGAATTCACAGCAATTTCCCACCAAGTGGACTGAGTTGCAATAATGTTGTGCTAAGTGTAGCGAGTTATGTCCCCTTATCTTTACACGTGCGTAACTTCTCTGTCGATATTTAACAAAATTTTGGACAAAATATGCCACTGTCCTTTTTCTAACTGCCTAAGTATTTGTATTGGAATTTACACCATCAGGCAGCAAATTTAATATTCTACATTTCTGAGTAATTTTATAGCCGTAGGTAGATCTAGTGACACATGAGCATTAGTCTCGCATAACATTACTTTTTAAATCTCATCAATGTGTGCATTGGAAAAAAAACACCTCAGCATCAAGGGGGTTAATGACACCATTGTCAATTTATGGTCTACTTACTTTCACCTTTAAACACATTGATAAAGTTCAGTTATTTTTATGAAAATCTTCAAAGGATGTGCTACAGAAAATGAGTTGCAAGAAACGGAGCCTGGAAGATACAGCAGGTGAGCTACAGTACAGATGCCACATGTAGTAACAGAAAACAAGAAGACAAAGTCATCAATATTCCCGCAATGGTAAAATACTCTTCTTGAATATGTCAACTAGTTATGATTATGTCAAATGTTTTGGTGTGTATTTAGTAAATTTCTTTAAAAATATAGATCAGAAACACTTTTGAGAGCATTTTTGTGACTTTGTTATTTCTGAATCTTCAATACCTATGTTGGATTATTAGATTAGGGTACTTGTAACAGATAACAACTTTGTACACTCTTCATACATTCTATCTTTTCTGGACCGCCTCCGTGTGGTAGTGGTTAGAGCATCCGCCTGGAGAGCGGAAGGTCGTGGGTTTGATCCCCGACCGCGTCATACCAAAAGACGTTAAAATATGGTACTTGTTGGTCCCTGCTTGGCGTTCGGCATTAATGGGTACAACAAGGACTCGAGTCAGAGTCAGTATAATGTGTCTGAGTGCGGTATTCATGCTTCACTGCGGCATGGTATCTCAGTGGGCTAGCACTATAAAACCAGCTTAAGTCTGGGCTAGTACAAGCAGCCGCACATACATACACATGCATGCACGCCGTCATATGAGCGAAATATTCTCAAGCACGACGTTAAACCACCCAATTTCACCTCACCTATCTTTTCTGAGCCAGGTTTCACTAACATTCATTCATTCCAGTTTGCCCATTGTGTGGGTAGGTTTCTAGTTTCATACACACTATCACTTGTAATGGATACTTGTGAAGAGTTAGTATACAGATCTTTCCTGCTGTCCTGTGCTTGCACTGTAATGATAGTTCCACCTATTGACATCAACTTTTCTTTGTTATATGCAAGGGCTTGAGAGTTTTGACTCACTGACTGACTGAGTTTGGTTTTACGCCGCTTTTAGCAATATTCCAGCAACATCACGGCCGGGGACACCAGAAATGGGCTTCACACATTGTGCCCATGTGGTTGAGAGTTTTGAAAGAACAGATGTACCATATCACGAATTCTTGATAGTAGTTCTGCAAACTCAGGATCTCCTTTCTGATGAACAATTTCAGTTAGATATTCGTCCAAATGGTACACCAGGTCTCTCAAATATGTCTTGTAAATGCTTGGCAAGCATATGTCTTCAATATCATCGTGCATCTTCTAAATTACAATAACATTTCATGATCCATAAGTTTCCATTTTACTTGTTTGCAACTTCATTGCTTCTGTACTAGGTTTCACTGTGACAAAATTCAATATGAACTATAAAGACGTGAAACTGCTGGTCACAAGTCTCAATATTTCTTACTAGTTCCACTTTTCACACTTTAGTACAAAGAGTTTTCTGTTTTGTCAAACAAAGCTAATTCTTTTCTTTTGCTGTCAGCAACTTCCCCCAAACAATGTGATGATCCGTATAGGGAACAGGGACAGTTCCAGTTGCTGCTGAATGAGGTGGACAGAAAAACAAATCTAAAATTCCACCATGGGTGTGAGTTGATTCTGTTATACACTGGATGAGACCATGC